ATGAATTTACAATGCAAGTTTTTCAGCAATCACTGAACATACTCAGTGATGATCGCTGGAACTGAAAATACAGAAACACAAATACAACGTGAAAGGGAAAAAGGATTATCATCAAATAACTGAGAGAGATGATCAACACTCCTTAAGCTGAGACATCTACTGGTCGCTAGGAACACTGGAGGTTGGGTTTTCAGGTACCTATTTCTCTAGCCGACCGCAGGTAGTAGAAGGGATAGAAGAGAGTTGACAAAAGGAAGTAACAATAGCAAACCTGGACGATTCTGTACTTTGAAGCACGATAGGTTTGAATAATACCTTGAGATTTCCTTCTTCAGCAACACCTTTGTCTTTCGATGTGGTGTTCTGGTTCTTTATGGAAGTCTCTTTCTCTTTTTCTCTCTTTCTCCCCCTGGGATGAAGAATCTCTAAGAGAGACTCCTTTTTAGAGAGTTGGTGGGTTTATGGTACTGAATTGTGAAGTCATCATCAACGTCGTCTTCATCATCATCACCATTGACATCCTTTCCAGCGTCAGGATAGGTTGGAGAATCATCGTCATCTTCATTGTCATCGTCTTCATCATCATCTTCCTTATCACCAGCATCAACTGCAGGGGTGATAGGAAGGTCTTCGTCATGAGCTTCAGCAACAGCTCTGGCGGCTTCATCAACGACCTCAACTTCATTAGCTTCATGGGAAGTGATGGTTTCATGAACAAACTCAGCTTYATTAGCTTCAGCTCTAGGAGCATCAGCTTCAACATCAGTTGTAGGGACAACAGTAGCAGCATCTAAATATTTATCCCCCTCTTTGTCATCAGCTTGACGAGAGAAGAGGTTATAAAAACTCAGACACTCAACGATCTCGCTTGAAGAAGACTGACTTCTAGAGCCTGATCCAGCATGAGGCGATCCATATCTATGAAGAAGGGTGTAAGAGCTGGTACTGGACGTTGAAGGAGCTCCAGCATATGCCGCAACTAGGGGTGTAAATGAGACGAGACAACTCGCGAGCTACTCGAAATCGACTCAGTCAATACTCGGTCAACACTCGACTCGAATAAGCTCGACTCGAACTCGAGCTCGACTCGACATACTAACGAGCCGAGCCGAGCTATCTGATACTCGACTCGATAGGCTCGTGAGATACTCGAATATATTTTTATATAATTAATTATATAATACATTTTATAAAATATACAATATAAGAAATTAATAACAATTAATTTATAATATAATATTAATGTGATTTTAATATGATTTCTTTTAATATAATTTATAAAATATACACATTTTAGTCTCCCTCCAACCTCCGCCTTTTCAATTTCAACTTTCACAATTAGGGTTTTTACTTTTCACTTTTCATTTTTTTACCTCACCACTCACCAGGTTGCCTCCTCCTTTGGCTCTCCCTCCCTCATCAGCCATCGCTCATCGCTTCCAGAGACCAGAATCGAGACCAGTCGGCGTCGTCGCTTCCCACCCGTCTTCTTCTCCGTCATCAATCATCTCTCGGCTCTCCCTCCCTCGTCGCTTCCCACCCGTCTTCTTCTCCGTCAWYAATCTTCTTCTCCTCGGCTCCTCCCYCCACATCCGCAAAGGTACAAGGTCTAATACTATTTTCTCTACTAAAAACATCTACAAGTTAAAACATATTATCTGCGACCGTGAAGGTACAAGCCGATATGTTATTCGAACAGGGGTCTAATCAAGTTAAAACATATTTCACATCTATGGGAACAAATATGTGTTTACTGTGTTTGGTAATTTGGTTGCTTGTTTGATTTCTGTTTTTAATTTTGATTCCTTTTTGGTTACTRCACATCTACAAGTAACTAATAGAWYTATTATTGTTGTGGATATTATTTTTGGTATGTTTAAATTTTGATTCCTATATGAATTTGCAATCACCATTTACAATTATTATTGTTGTGGATATTATCGTTGACCAAACATTTACAATTCTAGAGATGTCTAGTGGACCACAAGTATCTTCTACGGCTGTTGGTGCTTCAAATGAAGATTTGGATGTAATTGTTGATGAAGGAGGATCAAATGAAGGGGAGAATGTGTCCATGGAGGTTAATGAAGAGCCTTGTGAACCCCCCCCCCCCTTAACACCACAAATAAAGAAGTTGAGAATGATAATAATGTTTTTCATAACTCTAAAAGACAAAGAAGATCAAAAGTATGGGATGAATTTTTTGATCCTGAAATGATAAAAAATCAATGGAAAGTAAGGTGCAAGTATTGTAAAACTCCTCTTTCTCTTTTGAAATCTAAGAGCACTACCCATATGCACCGACATTTGGAATCTTGTGTTATGAAAGCGAAACACGTGAGACAACAAAAGTTGATTAATTTTTTGCCATCTGATTCGAGCACTGGTACAAATCAATCTGGATTTGTTAGTGCTTTACATAATGGTAAACTTGACATGTTAAAGATGCGAGAGGGGATAGCCCATTGGATCACTATGCATGAGCATCCTTTCAGTATTGTTGAGGAGGAAGGATTTAATTTGATGATGAAAAGGGGAATACCTGAATGGAACCGTGTATCTCGAGTTACTATTAAAGCAGACGCTTTCAAAGTCTATGAGTTGGAGAAGAAAAGGCTAAAAGATTTGTTCAAGAAAGTAGAACGAGTAAGTTTGACTACAGATTTATGGAAGTCAAAGCCACAAAAAATTGAATATATGGTGATTACCGCTCATTTTGTGGATCTTGAATGGAAGCTTCAAAAGAGGGTGATTAAATTTGTTCATTTGCCTCCTCCACGTAAAGGTGCAAATATAGCTGATTGCATCTTAACATGTCTAAGGGAGTGGGAAATTGAGGACAAAGTAAGTTCTAATTTGGTTAATAAATTAGTGTATATATGTATTTKWTTTTATTTATGACTTGTGTACTAATAAAACTTAATCTTTGTGTATTCGTGTTAGGTTTTCACAATTTTTGTGGACAATGCATCTGCAAATGATTCTTGTATTGCAATTTTGAAGGATAATTTTGAATCAAATGGGAGGCTTATTTGCGGTGGAAAATTGTTTCACGTCCGATGTTGTGCCCACATTCTTAACATTATGGTTCAACATGGTCTTCAACAAGTGAAGGATATTATTGTGAAAGTTCATGATACCGTTGATTACTTGAACTCAAGTGAAGCACGTCTTAAGCGTTTTGGTGAACTTGTAAGCCAATACAACATGAATCATCRGAAGTTAGTTCTTGAATGCAAGACACGTTGGAATTCAACATACGATATGCTAGATTGTGCCATCAAGTTTAGACAGGTATTTCCTCGATATTCTTTGCATGATCGTAATTATACTTCTTGTCCTACTGAAGAGGAATGGAGTAAGATTGCAAAATTGCTTGATATATTGAAAATATTTAAAGATGCTACTAACTCCATATCTGGTTCTGAATATCCAACTTCCARCTTGTTTCTTSCTGAAGTACRAAGGATTAAAGTTATGTTGGATAAACAATCTCARTCGAATGATGATTTTGTTAGAAGTATGGTAAACCACATGAAAGAGAGATTTGATAAATATTGGGGGGAGTGTAACATGCTAATGTCAATAGGRACCGTGTTAGACCCTAGATTGAAAATGAGGGCTATAGAGATTGCATGGCCTAAAATGTTTCCTTTAAGTGTAGCTCGGGATAATATTAGTAAAGTCAAAGASGTGATGTATGAGCTTTTTGATGAATATGTGAGAATGTATTCTTCTTCTATTGGGGATGAAAGTGTCGAATGTGAATTTGGATCAAATACTCGTGAAGGAAATGATGGATCTAGTGGTTTATCTGAACTTTTGTTAGATGTTTTTAGTGGGGAGACATCGGTAACTCGTGTGAAATCTGAGCTTGATATGTATCTAGAAGAGGGGTGTTTCTTTAGTCAAGACTACAAATTTAATGTCTTATCTTGGTGGAAGGAACAATCAAACAAGTTCCGAATTTTATCTAGAATGGCTGCAAATATCTTGTCTGTTCCTATCACTACTGTGGCTTCGGAGGCAACTTTTAGTGCCGGTGGTCGTGTAATAGATCCTTATAGAGCTTCTCTTGCTCCGGAAACGGTACAAATGTTAATGTGCACGAGTGATTGGTGTAGATCACTCCATGGCGTGAAAAGGAAGAATAAGGTAAATGCTTAAATATGCTAAGTTATTTATCTTTACCTTTAACATGTACACTAATTTGTTTTTGTTTTTATTGTAGGAGAACGAAGAACAACCAAAGGAAATCTTTATTCAAGTGCCGTTCATGGAACCCGGGATTTGAAAGCGAAATAAGATTGTTGATTTGTTGATGGATTTATAAGTACTTGGTTTTAATATTGTATTTTTCTCGACTTCGTTTTGATTTRTTGATGGATTTATAATTTGGTTGTAAACTCTTAATTTTCTGGATTTAATTTGTTGGTTTTTAAATTTATTTTGAACTTCTTATTATTGTCATGCATTAAACAAGTTCGAGCTTGATTTGAGCTTGATTCGAGTTCGAGTTCGAGTTCGAGCTTGATTCGAGCTTAGTCCGAGCTTGATTCGAGCTTAGTTCGAGCTTGAATCGAGTTCGAGTTCGAGTTCGAGCCTGAAAAATAGTTATCGAGTTCGAGTCGAGCTTCAATTTTGACTACTCGCGAGTTTTTGAGTCGAGTTCGAGCTTCGAGATTAGGTTTCGAGTTCGAGTCGAGTATAATGATACTCGAGCTCGACTCGCATCATTTACACCCCTAGCTACAACAACTCACCATGCCTGGCAAGCTGAGCATTCGCTTCATCGGCTTTGCTGGTTAGAGCAGAGATAGCCTCAGCGTTGGTGCGCACAGTAACTTGCACCGCAGAAAGTTGTTCCTTGACCTCATTGACGTCAGCTTTGACAGCTGAGATGTTAGCAGAAACATCATCCCTGAGAGGCATGCCTTTATGGACTTCATCCATTTTTATGAAGATAATCTCTACGGCGGGGAGTAGCAGCTTCACGTCATCAGCCATGTTATATTCCTCTTCCATGGCTGGGGTTCTTTCGCCACAAGGACCTGAGGGTTCATCAATTGATTCTCTCCATGTTGCCTTCGAGAGGATAGGCGTCCATTAACTAAGGTGTTTCGAGAAGAGCAACCTCAGGTCCTATAGTGGGTGCTTCATCATCAGTGAGGACAATCGTTGATGAGTCATGAGCACGTGTCGAGACCAAAGAAAGAGGAGAAGAAAAGATGGCTGAGACTGGTGGAAGTGGGTGTTCATCAGTGGCTATGATGATATTCACACCTTCAGTGATTTGGGTCACTGAGGCGGTTGGGATCGGAGCCACATATACGACAGTGATTGTAGAAATCACTGAAGAGATTGGAGGAGACCAAGATGAAGGTGCCTCGGGATTAAGGCTAGTTTCAATAGTTGAAACCTTTTGAGAGGTAACAGCCAGAGATGTGGTTATCCCCTTTTTGGCTTTCTTGGCCTTCGATAGAGAACCAAGAGTGGTTTGAGAGGAGGTTCTTTTGGAAGAACAGGAGGTGGTGGTTGGGATAGACTTTGGGGGGTTTTCCTTAGTCTTGACCACCAGAGCAAGGTAAGGACATACCGACATAGTTGAAGAAAATGAAGAAGGATGTGCAGGCACAATTGCAGAGAGTGCAATGTCTTCATTCCTCAGCTTATGATCCAAGATTCTGGATCAAGCTTGTAGATGGGTACTTGTTGCCAAAAATCTTGGCAAACACCATGGACAAGAACCTGGTGTAAGGTACTACCTTCTCCCTTCGGCGCTTGTTCAGCTTCAGCACCAGATCTTCAAAGATCACACCAGCAAAGTTTATTGGGCGTTGACGAATGACAGAGATGCCAATGTTCAATGCAACTTTGGAGGGTTGATCTTGGCCACCAATCTTGCCTCCCAAACATTGGATGAAATGGGAAAACAAGAACTGCCAAACCGCAGACATGCGGTTCTTCTCAATCTTTGAAAAAAATAGATATATTATCTAGGCTATAAATTAGGATAGTCATTGATTGTAAATATCTTTTCCTAATTTTATGTATCTTTGTATTATAAATACCCAATAATATAGCCTCCACAAAGTGTGGTATCAACCTAATTTGCTCCTAAAACCCTAGTCTCGCCGCCTTTCTCCTCTCCCTATGGTTGTCGACGATGATCTCTCCCTCCCTCTCTCCACTTTCTTACACATGTTAACTATTAAACTTTCATCTTCCAATTACCTCCTATGGCGAAATCAAATCATGCCGCTTCTTTCCTATCAGAATCTTACCGGACACATTGACGGCACCTCTCTACTGTCGCCCTCTACCATTGAAGTCGACACAAAGATTGTCCCAAATCCCGTTTATATTTCATGGCATGAAAACGCTCAGCAAGCCCTTATCTTTCTTCAATCTTCTCTTTCTGAAGAAGCCATGGCCGAAGCCCTCAGTCTTAAGACCGCTCGTGATGTTTGGCTTGCTCTTGAAAACGCCTATAGTCACGATTGTATTAAATGCATGCAGATCCTACGTGACTCCTTGCGTCGTCTTCAAAAAGGTAATTTATTTTTCTCCGACTATGCTGCCAATTTAAATCCTTCTGTGATCAACTTATTGCGATTCGTCATCCGATTGAAGACCTCGATAAATCCCACTGGTTCTTATGTGGTCTTGGCCCCTCTTTTGAGACCTTCTTCACAGCTCAACATGCAATCAAGCCTTGTCTCTCCTTCCATGATGTACTCTATCAAGAAGAAGCACATGATCTTTTTCTCAAATCCATCACGGTTCTTATACGAATGGTCGTGGTCGCTCTTCAAACAGTAGTGGAGGCTATTTTGGTGGACATGGTCGTGGTCTCCGACCACCCCATTGTCAATTATGTCGCAAGGATGGTCATATGCAACTCAGTGTCCCGATCTTGCCTCCTTTGCTGCATGATCTAATGCCATCGATGCCAACCTTGCCACCGCCTTCCATTCGCAGTGTCATGTCACTGACAACTCTCCGAATTGGTATGTTGATACCAGAGCAACGTCCCACATGACGCCATCTCTATCCAATCTTGACACTTCCAAACCCTATTCCGGCAAGGATCATGTTACCTTTGGAAATGGTAATACTCTTCCTATCTCTCACATCGGTAATTCGTGCCTTCGTAAAATATCAATCTATTTGGTGTCCTTGTCGTTCCTCATGTTACAAAAAATTTACTTTCTATTAGTAAACTAACACGAGATCAACATGTTGACGTGTTCTTTTCTGACACTTTCTTTCTTATTCAGCATCACCTTTCCAAGGCAATTCTAGCTCGGGGACGACTTGATCGTAGTCTTTACATTTTTAGCACGGCCAACAGGGGGTTTTAGCGACCTTTTCTTCAAATCAGCTGAAAGCTTCCTTTGAAGTTTGGTACAATTATTTGGGACATGTCTCTTTTGATGTTATTTCCTTTTTAGTAAAAACAGGCCGTTTGTTTGTTACTTCTTTATTACCTAAGCCCCAACATTTGTTTTTTTTTTGTCAACTCTCCAAGAGTAAATGTTTACCATTTCATATTAATTCAAAACGCTCTTTGCATGTTTCGAACTTAATTCATTGTGACTTATTGGGTCCTTCTCTTATTAACTCTACGAACGACTATCTTTACTATATTATCTTTGTTGATGATTTTTCACATTTCACGTGATTTTATCCCTTACGTTCAAAATCCTATGTGTTTGGAGTTATCTCGGCTTTCTTGATTTTTGTTCAAACTCAATTTGGTTGTATAAACTCAAAACCTTTCAGAGTGATAATGGTACGGAATTTCTTAATCACCAAGTGCGAAATCTTTTTCTTTCGAATGACACACATCATCAAATCTCATGCCCTTATACACCCCAGCAAAATGGGCATGTCGAGCAGAAGCATCGTCATATTACGGAAACTGGGCTTGCCATGCTCTTTAATGCTCATGCTCCTGCATCTCTTCGGGTGGATGCGTTGTTATCAGCCACATACATCATTAACAGGTTACCATCCAAAGTCCTCCAACAGAAAAGTCCATTCGAGTTACTATTTGGATCGGTGCCAAATTATGACACTTTTCGTGTGTTTGGTTGTCGGATATTTCTGTACCTGTGTGATTACTCTCCACATAAATCAGCAACGCAGAGCTTATCATGTGTCTTTATTGGCTACAACACCCAATACAAGGGATATCGGTGTTTAGACTTAACCACCTCGCGGATTTACACATCTCGACATGTTCAATTTGATGAGAATAATTTTCTCTTTGTTGGAAAATGGCCAATTGTCTATCTTGCCTCCTTGGTATTTTCTAGCTTCAACGAGCTCTCAATCCTAGCCTGAATCTGGCCCGACGAAGCCACCCGCCTCCTATTGATGACCCTTCTCCTCCCATAGTGCAACCCACTTATGCTGCCTTAGCCCATTGTTTGTTTTGCTTCGAACATACGAAGAAACAAACCACTGTCCAGTCCACTCCACAACAGTCTGAAAACCCGGCAACCGTTGTGCCACCACCCTTACCTATGGTCAACACCAACTCGCTGCCCATTGTCGCAATGTCCGTACCCATGTTCGTGCCTCCATCTACGGCGCCAACCACCTCCACGCATCATATGACCACTCGGGCCTGTGTCGTTATTTTCAAAAAGCGACATATACTCGATCTTGCTCAACTCGAACATAATCCCTTCATTTAGCCATGTTCACTACCAAAGAACCATGTGGCTTTAAAACAACTGCCCAAAATGATTTGCTGCTATGACAGAAGAAATGACAACTCTTTAGAACAATAACACTTGGACTCTCGTTCCCCGCCCGCAGTCATCCAATGTTGTTGGCTCTAAATGGGTCTTTCGCACAAAGTACCACTCTGATGATACTATCAAGCGACTAAGGTTCGCTTAGTTGCTCAAGGGTTCACTCAAATACCGGGTTTGGACTACTCCCTCACCTTCAGTCCCATTGTGAAGGCTTCCACTGTTCAAATTGTTCTTTCACTAGTTTTCCTTCATAAATGGCCTCTCCATCAGCTAGATGTCAAGAACGCCTTCCTCAATGGTCATTTTACTAAAAGCGTGTTTATGGAGCAACCACCAGGTTTCATTGACCTATGTTTTCCTAGCCACATTTGTCAGCTCAAGAAGGCATTATATGGTCTCAAACAATCCTCGCGAGCATGGTTTCAACGCCTCAACTCTTTTCTCACAAAATTGGGTTTCTATGTAGTCGTTCTGATACCTCTCTTTTTGTGTATCATTTGGGCTCCTGTACTTTGTATCTCTTCGT